ATAAAATCTATTTATGGTTGTAAATGAGAAGTTTTAAAAGGGGCAAGAAGAGAAACTTTAAGGACAGGGGCAAGAAGTGTTTGGTTTCCATTGCCGGTGGACAGGCTGGCAGAAAAGGAGGAAACGGTCCCTGCCTGAATGAAAGACGGATGGGAGGAACAGTGATTCTACAAACAGTGGAGTTTCTGAAGGTGGTTGAGTATCAGAGGGTCAACCATCCAAAGAAATGGGCGGTGCACATTACATGGAGACAATGTCGGTGATGATTAATAGCCGATGGGTTTACAAGAATAGAATGAAAGCTGCTATGAAGAGCTATTTTATAATCGGAAATAACGGCAGCTCGGTTTGGAGACACAATTAGATGAACCGAGAATATAAGACCTGAGAGGTTTGGATCTGTGTGAAGGAGTTGTACATAGTTTGGATACTGAGCAGCCAGGAAGGAGGAGGATCACAGGGAAGAGGTTTTTATCATCTGCTGCTAAAAGAAACGGCCAAAGAAAAAACAAAAAAATGTCTAATTGTTCACATTATTTATTGTAATATATTTTTAAAGATTTAAATGTATTGTAAGTCCCACAAATGATAACTGACAGTTCTTCATAAGTAGATCTGTTTACAAATACAAATTTGTTTAAAATATTGCATAGTGTGATAAGCATGAAACTTAAATGCTGTTAATTCATTCTGTTGTTCAGTTATTTAGAAAATACATTATCACGGATTCTTTCCCGAAATCAGAAAATTATTATAAAAAAATGTGAAGTTTTGACCAGTTTTAATTTGATCTTTTTTGTCATTGGGTGATAAATACTTAACCCAAAATGTATTAGATAACAACCTAAAATAAAATCTTAGAGATATAAAGCTTCAATATACAAGTTAATATGAATTTCCGGGGTTTTCTTAACTTTTTATGTTGTATTGAGAAGCTATCTTGCTTTGACATTGCTGGCAGCAAAGCTCGGATGCTAAAATATTTATTTTTTGTATGACCATTTTAGTTATGGCTGCTCTAAGATTACACCTCCAACTTACTTCTGAACTGTTTAACTGTTCTGTTTTTATTTCAATTTATGTTGAAGAGCCTTTTTCTTAGTTTCTGAGCCTCACTTCTTCATGTTCTGGTCACATGCTGTTCCTTCACTATTAGTTTCTGCGGCTATGATAAAGTGAACACTTGAGTCGTTAGGTAGACACCAGAAAGGAAATTGATTGTGTTCCTGGTACAGTTAGTAACCCAGATATTTTGATTTCCCTTTACAGATTGTGTACAACTTGCTGTCATTGCGTTACAACTCCCGTATTCGTGTCAAGACGTACACAGATGAGTTGACGCCAGTGGACTCTGCAGTGTCCGTCCACAAGGCCGCTAACTGGTACGAGAGGGAGGTGAGTCACCGCCGTTTCTACTTAACGGGAAGGCTGGAAGCTGTGATTGACTGAGTGAATTTGTATGGCAACAGGTGTGGGACATGTTTGGGGTGTTCTTTGCCAACCACCCTGACCTCAGGCGCATCCTGACAGACTACGGCTTTGAGGGTCACCCCTTCAGAAAGGACTTCCCTCTATCAGGATACGTAGAGGTGAGTTCTGCCAGAGTTTGAGCTTAACGCTCGGATGTTCTTTGACCTGATTGATTTAATTCATCGTTTGAAATCATAGTTCAAGTACACCTAGGGGAGTGGAGGAAGCTTTGGACTGTTCCTCCTCTGGTTGTATATTCAGTCTGTACAGCTATCATGGCCTTGTTCACATTGTCAGTATAAAGTGAATAAACTGATTGCAAACAGTAATTGGATTATCTTTTTTAATAAGCACAGAGGTGATTCAGAACCTCCATCAAACCCAAAGGTAGTTTACAGGTGAAATTGGTTAAATAGGTTAAATAGGTTAAATAGCTGGAAGGAAAATCAGCAACTATAGGCTGTGCTGAAATGAGGAATGAAGTGGTTCCTTCAACTACAATGAAAAGGACACTTATTGTGTATTATCAGAATTTTATATTTGGTGTTGAAGAACTTAATAAATGTTTGAAATCCTTTTAAAACTGTCTTTTTTTTTCCAAAATGGACTTTTTTACTAATTTCCCCAAAGTTTGTTCATAAATAAAGAAGAAAGAAATTGAACTGTGTTTATCTTACAATGGAGAAATTACCTCACTGCATTTAACCCATCCCCTTGGGGAGCAGTGTGGGGTTAAGGTCTTGCTCAGGGACCTAGAGTGCAGGCTGTAGGGATCAAACCAGGTACTTGCAATCTTCTCAGAGCACAAGCGCACTAATGTAACCACCATTCAGAGCAAATATCAAATTCTGTTCTGTACTTTTATGTGGTGTCTTAAAGGAGCCTGTTATAAAGTGGATTTTTTTTTTTTTTTTTTTACCGGTTTGTTCAATTTTGACAGCAGTGACATTGTTCTTTTTATCTCAGTAAATGAAATACAAGTTCACATTATTGTTTTTTTATGTATTGTGGTGTTAAACTGGTGCTAGTGTATGCTTTGCGCTGATTGATTTACTGCTGCTGGATGAAAGCTATGGCTTTAGCACCAATAAACTGGTTTCATCTTGGTTTTCACTGTGACTCCAACCAGAGGAAAGCACAGCTTTCTGTTGGAGGACTACTACAAACCAACAGCCATTCATGTAAAATGATCTTTCTTTGATTTTTCTCTCTGATGTTGCTCTTTAACATCAGCTGGTGCCGATTTTGATCTGATTTTGACCTCTTTTAGCTGAGATTTTCCTCTGATTCTATGAAAACAGTTGTTATCCCTTTTCTACAAAGCTGATCTTTTAGATGGGGAAGCGCTCAAACACTACATTTATGCCAAGGTTCTTGCTTTGTCTAAATAGATGTGTGTGATTGGTCCATTTTTAATTTATTATGTTTTTTCTTTCTTTATATTTAAATGTCAAGATTACTTTTTATGAAAAAAAATGATAAAGATATCAATAAACAATCTTGTTTAGAATTTGAAAAAGCCTGGGGGCATTTAAGAATGTCCCAATCTCAGTGAGGAGACCTAGAAATATGTTTCTGAGCTGAGCATTGTTTCCCTTCACAGGTGCGTTATGATGATGAGCTGAAGCGGGTGGTGGCTGAGCCCGTTGAGCTGGCACAGGAGTTCAGGAAGTTCGACCTGAACACACCCTGGGAGGTGTTCCCAGCGTACCGAGATCCTAAGGAGGCTGCGCCAAAACTGGAGGCAGGAGACTCAGCCCCAGAGAATAAGTGACGTCACTCAGTTCAAACCTAGTACACTTTCACCTACATGTTGTTTGCGTCCTGCCAGACAGCCCAATCTGAAATATTTATGTAAATAAAAGCTAATAATAAAACCAACGCTGGACCTTTCTTATTGTGCTTTGAGTTTTTATTTTAGAACAGCTTTCTGTTGCAACTTTACTGTTTTGTTTTGGTTAAGGAGAAAGCGGAGTAGAAAGAGCCAAAGGTTTAATAGTGACTAAGATGAGAGATTCTTCTTCTTCAAATTCATGTACCAACCTTCTTTAAACAAATTACGGTAACCATGTTTTCAATAGCTTATTTTTTCCTGCACTGTTTGGTTTGTTTACAGTGACTGTTGGTCAGACATGTACATGCTTTCATTTTGACCGTGTTCGTCCTGATAATTTAAGTGTTAATGATTTTTGAATTTACAGTGGATTTTTTTTCTTATCACCAATGTGGTAAAAATTATACACTCAGATCAAATAACTCCTATACACACCCTCCTCAGGAGGTTTGATATCAACCTCAATTTATTTTAGCTGTGAAAAAGGTCCTAACATGAACCTGGAGGAACATTTCACTTCTATTCTTAAGAAATGTAGAATTTTGTTTTTTTTGGAAGATGCATTCATTCTAAACTTGACGTGTTTGGGATCTTAATGTTGGAAAACTCAACTGGTTCCAGGGTGTAACCATCTAGTGTTTGATTTTCCAGGTGAATTTTTAGGTACCAGTTAAGGTTCATCCACCAATTAAGTGTCTCCGCATAAAACTGGTAGCCTAACGGCCATAGATGGGTATTTTATTAGTCGCCACAGGGAGTAGCTTACCTCGCACACAAGCACTTAAAGCAGAAGAAGTTATGTAGAAAATGTTTTAAAAGACATTGAGACACTTAGCATGATGCTCCACCACTAAGCTTCATAATTAGTTATGTTTGAAAATGAATTCTGCCAAGAAGGTGATCAAATGTCAAGCCAGATTTAATCCAAAGTTCTTGCTGGCTACAAAAAGCCTGTGTTTATATAGATATATATTACTGAGCCCGAGTGTCAAATTCTGCCTTTGTGAAGTTTTATCTTTCAGTCCACCCCGGAAAAAGAGGTTCAAATGAATAAAAGATTATACTTAGTCTGATATTGGTGTGAATCAGGGGTGCTCAAATCCAGTCCTCAAGAACTACTATCCTGCAACTATTTGATGCAACCATTTTTAACACACCTGAATCAAATGAGTGGCTCGTTACCACGCCTCTGCTGGGCTAAATGAGGGGATTGAGGCTTTAGATTCAGGTGTGCAAAGAGATGCATCTAAAACAGGCATCCCCAACCTCGGTCCTTAAGGCCCGCTGTCCTGCAGGTTTTAGAGGTTTCCTTGCTCCAGCACAGCTGATTTTAATTGAAAGCTGATTAACAGGCTTTTGGTCTACTGCAATCAATATAATCAGCTGTGCTAAAGAAGGGAAACCTCTAAAACCTGCAGGACAGTGGGCCTCGAGGACCGAGGTTGGGATGCCTGATCTAAAAGTTACAGGATGGTAGCTCTTGAGGACTGGAGTTAAGCACCCCTGGCTTAGATGATAAGACCAGATCAGGAAGGATCTCAGGGCTTTTAACATGAAAACAAAAACTCGTCCAATCAACTTCCACATCTCTGTTCCGACTTGTAGTTTTTTTTAACCCCAAATATCTGTATTTAGACCAAACATTTAGGCTATGAATATCATCAAAGGAGACCAGCAGATTGTATCAAATCTTCACTTTGTTACCATATGTCTCTCTGAGCACCACCTACTAACATATTAAGGATTTTAATATGAAAACATAAAATAACAGAATGTATAGCAGTAGATGGTGGCAGTCTAAACAGCTATTTTCTATTAACAAACAAAACAGGAAAGTTGATTTTAAATTAATTTAAAAGAATAAAACGAATCAATCATTCAGAAATGTTTAATCAACTTTATTCATTTTCTATACTTGTAATTTATTTTTTGCTGCATGGTAGATTTTGTTCTCTTACCTCTGTCTTATTTACGTTTTCACTTGTGGATTTATGTGCCACAAATGAAAAACAAAACACCAGGTGGCGCTGCACCCCTGATGAATAAAAACAGCCCTGCTTGTTTGTCATCTTTCTTTTATTTCAATGCACAGTTTTGCTGCATTCACTTTACATGTAAGAATCAATTTAAACATGTCAAACAGTTTGAGTCAGACTACGGCAGACAACAAGGGTCAAAACAGTATCCCAATGCAGTTTTTTCTTTTTTGGCAATGCGGAACACAACTCTTTGTTTTGATAACTGAATAAAAACGAACCCACATTTTTATCCATATCTGAATATTAAATATTATTACACAATCTTTGATCTAAAGCATCATAAACAGAGAAGCACGTTTTTAAAACTGTACACACAATTCACATAGAAATAAAATAAATAGGAAACAGGCATCTACTGACCTTCTGAAATTGCACAGTAATTGTGAGAAAATATTTTGTTTTTTTAGTTACATGCATGCATGATAACACAAGTCTCTGAGCCTTGCACACCAGAGGTTCTGGGTAGAATCAACATAATTTCCTGAACTGTACTCGGCCCACTGAATCACAGGTCTGTATATACATGCCCCACTCTCACACTGAGGCTAAGATGAAAAGAGGTTTATGCTGCGACTGAATATATCATCTGCAGTGAAACACATTCACTGTTTGCTCCTACTGGGAGAGAAAAATAACCAGATTTTAGTATCTTAAAAGTCTCTGCAGTCTTCAAGATTTATCTTTAGAGATTTATAGGTTTTCATATTTTGCTTGTTTTTTCCCCGTATAAATATGTCAAAAGGGAATACATTTATTAGGGTTTTCCTTTTTAAAATGCAGTTATCTTTGCAATTTATAACAGAAATCTCTTTTCACAGCGTGTACTGTTTTTGAATTTGATTTAGAAATAGGCTTTCATTAAATACGCAGTGAGATTTGCATCTTAAACATACATTTTTGGAATAAATTTCTGCAGATCTGTGGAGTGCTCTCCCTTGCTCTTTTCACTGCTGCTGATTTTTAACTGTAAGTCATTTTTCTTTTGGGAATAGCGGCTAATTGGATTAAAATCAGGGTATTGCATCTCAAAGATATTCCACCCTTTGCTTCTCATAAATTACCAACAAATTTAAGAAAAACATCTGAATGTTCAGCAAAACTCAAATTGAACCCCAGTGGTCACCCAGGGGACAAGCCTGTTTGATAAAAGAAGGGTTCATGACAGTTTGAACTGTATCATCTTGCTCCCAGCGGTGTGAAATTAGATAAGCACATCATTGCAGCCTGGGAGAATCAATTCAATTTTCCCCACAGTGGGCTCTGTCTGAAGACGTGAAATAAATGCTGCTAGAATTTGAAATCAAATATTGTTCCAGATTCCCGCAGGCTTGGAGGAAGCATGCGGTCAACAGTTGTAATGACACAGAGTCCTGAACACGCTCCAAATCTGTGTCAGGTCCGTCCTGTGATCCTTTGCCCCAGCTGTGCCCAAGAAAACAACATCAAACCTCAAATATGGGGAAAAAAGGACTCATTTGACCACATAGTTTACATTCATTTACATGCTAGTGACATAACAAGTAAAGAGACATATTACTCACAAGCAGAAACATCAAGTCTTTGACAGCAACCCGACAGCACTTCAAGGAATATTCCATTAAGAAATGTTGAATATCTACTAAGACTCACACATGTTTCCAGTGGATGAAGTTAGAAGTGCACCCTGAGTGCTTCGTCTAAGGGCTGAAACTGTGCAGAAACTATCCAATCAAATGGGTTCCCCTCTTTGGTATATTTGAGTTAACTTGTAAGGATATTTTGGTTTTATATTATCCTGTTATATTTATCCTCTCATTTAAAATGAATCCTTTATTTCCCAAAGGAATTCCTTTAGTTGGAATTTGTGGAAGTGTGGATGTGTAGGGTAGCTGTCACAGAAAACTGCAAATGGATCGATATCAGTGTCCATTACAATAAATTTGAATTAAGTTGAAATAAATGAAATTAGATCTAAATCAGGTCATATTTACCTGAATTTGACTTTGTATATTCTGTAAAATTGTGTGAGAAATAAAGTTGATTTAAAACATGAGATACAACTAGAATGAATTGGACCCAGATGCATCACCATGCATCTGGACCAAATAAAGTGTTGATCTAATCAGGAAACGAACGAACAAACGAATGACTGAAGAATTTTGATTTTAGATGGAAGTATTCCTATTCAAGTGAGATAGAAAGTGGACCTTGGAAGCCATTAGACATGAACTAAATAGATTTTCTCTTAGGTGAGTCCAAACTCCTTTGACTTTGAGAAGGAATTGGTATGAAGAGGAAAGAAGCCAGAAAGCAGTTGGGACTCAAACACGTTCTGATGCCCTGTGTAGCATTTGACACTTTACATGAATCCCACTCAGGGTGCTCAGTCATTAGCCATTCAGCTCTAGTTAAGGCCTCTTGGCAGAATATGATTGGCTGGTCGTGACAGCGGCGGAGGGGCTTTGGGGGATGTCTGGGTAAACCAGGAAACCAGTGAAGGTGATGTACTTGGCGTGGTTGCTGTAGGCTCCAAATCCGTCTCTCTGGTGAGAGTAGAGCCAGACTATGTCCCCTGGTTTCAGTGCCAGCATCACACTCTGACTCTGCAGGGCTTTCTCACCCTGGCTGTCATCATAGATCATCGCCTGCACCTCCAGACGATTCTTCATCAGCTTCACGGAAAGTGTCTTCTGGGGCAGCTTGCCCACGTTGAAGGAGAAGTAGTATGCCCCAGGGACGCGGCAGGTAAACACACCCTCCGTCACGTTAAAGTCCTCTCCAATGTTGACGAAAGCTGTGTCAAAGCTGATTGGTCGATGCTGCAGCATGCCCACCTGGTTGACTCCCAGAATGCTTTGGGTACGGCCCACAGAGAAGGCGGATCTCCCATCATCCTCTTCATCATCATACTCTTGCACTTCTTCCTCCTCTTCTCTGTGTAGCTCCTCCTTCTCTGAGTTTCCTGCCTTGGACTTGATTTGCTCTGTGTTTTGCAGTTGGAGGTCCTCCTGCTGAGGGTTATATGTGGGATGGTGCTGGTGATGGTGGGTCTGGTAGCTGTAGGTGTCGGGGTAGATGAGGTAACCATTAAAGGTGGTGTAGTGTCCAGTGTTGCTGTAGAGGGCGTAGCGAGGATCACCATGGAGACGGAGCCAGACGGTGTCACCAAACTCCAGCTGCAGCATGACGCTCTGACTCTGCACCTGAGGATTTAATCAGATTGTATTAGCTCTGCGGGTGGGGCAAAATCTGCCCTGTTCTACATCAAGGATGCCGACAACAAACATGATTCAATCACAGAGGAGTAATCCTCTACGAATCATCAATTCCCCCAAAAACTATAAACCCCTGCAATAAGGCTTAATCTAAGCTCTGACATGATTAAAGACCTTCAAGGTATCCCAAGAGAAATATTCTGATCCACAATATTAGGTGCCTGTTCAGTACATATCACTTTAAACTGGTAGATGATTAAAATCCGCATTGCCTTTTGC